ATTTTTCTAGGCCTCACACTCTTGCAAATATGGCCCCTGGCACCTCAATCAAAGGAAGACTGCAGGCCTCAATCAGGAAACAGTTGCAGATCCCGCACATACATTAAAAAAAAAAAAGCAGCTGGTTCCTGCAGCTGTCCATTCTCACTATCTCAGTCCATATATTCATATCCCCAGAAAATTTTTCAATTAAATGATCAAGCTAAAATTTAATTTTTAAAAAAGTATTCCTAAATATGAGAGCCAGTTTGGAGTAGTGGTTAAGGCACCAGGCTACAAACTGGGAGACCTTGAGCACGAAGCCAGCTGGGTGACCTTGGACCAGTTTCAGCCCTAGGAAGGAGGCAGTGGAAAACCTTTTCCAAAAACATTGGCAAGAAAACTGCAGGGACTTGTCCAGGCAGTCGCCAGGAATCAACCCTGACTTGAAGGCACTAAGCCATCCTCAAATACAGGTTATGTGTGTGTGTGTGTGTGTATATATGTGTGTTTATGTTATGCTTATCTGGTGTGTCTGTATATATAAATAATGTGTGTGTGTAGATGTGTGTGTATATAAATAAGTAAATAAATACCTGGTGATGTGTGTGCGTGTGTATGTATGTGTATGTTATGTGTATCTATCTGGTGTGCATGTGTGTGTATATAAATAAGTAAATAAATACCTGGTGATGTGTGTGCGTGTGTATGTATGTGTATGTTATGTGTATCTATCTGGTGTGCATGTGTGTGTATATAAATAAGTAAATAAATACCTGGTGATGTGTGTGCGTGTGTATGTATGTGTATGTTATGTGTATCTATCTGGTGTGCATGTGTGTGTATATATGAATATCTCTGTGTGTGTATATGTGTACTGTCTATCTGGAATGTGTGTATATGTAAATGTATATATATAATTATTAATTATATATTAAATATATTATTACATGTATATAAATATATATATATATATGTATATGTATATAAATTTATATATTATTAATATATGAATAAAAATTAATATATATATGGTATGCACACACCCCTGTGCTACTACAATTCTATGCAACTCGACAGAGGAACAAGTTGCATTACCGTCATGGGACTACCCCAGGTCAGTAGGCATCAGATCAAAA